AACCTAGACAGCATATTAAAAAGCAGAGACATTACTTTGCCAACAAAGGTCCATCTAGTCAAAGCTATGGTTTTTCCAGTAGTCATGTATGGATGTGAGAGTTGGACTATAAGGAAAGCTGAGCACACAAGAATTGATGCTTTCGAACTGTGGTTTTGGAGAAGACTCTTGAGGGTCCCTTGGACTGCAAGGAGATCCAACCAGTCCATCCTAAAGGAAGTCAGTCCTGAATATTCACTGGAAGGACCGATGCTGAAGCTGAAACTCCAATACTTTGGCTACCTGATGTAAAGAACTGACTCATTTGAAAAGACCCTGATGCTGGGAAAGATTGAAGGCGGGAGGAGAAGGGAACAACAGAAGATGAGATGGCTGGATGGCATCACCGACTCAATGGACATGAGTTTGGGTAAACTCCAGGAGTTGGCAATGGACAGGGAGGCCTAGTGTGCTGCAGTCCATGGGGTGGCAAAAAGTCAGACACGACAGACTGAACTGAACTGAAATACATGTTCTACTTTATTTTCCATTAAAAAAATACGGCATTTGATTTTGAAACCTATAGTTGTGACACAGACAAATTATAGTACAATGTGATTAAGCATTACCATCAAAGTGGATAGGCAGATGCAGATTTAATGTCAGAGATCATACAAGCCCACCTGAGGACAGAGCAGAGGTAGCCAGAACTGACAGAGACATGGTTCAACAACCTCACTATTCTCCTCAATTAAACACGAATGAATAAGACAATGGGAATATCAGGCAAGTGCACAAACCCTCCAGCTAGAAATCAATGAGACAAAATGAAAAACCAAATGGCCCAGAAGCTAGCAAGACATAAGAGAATTAAAAAAGTTAATGAGCATACTCAAAGAAATGTGAGAAGACGCTGCATCTATTACACCAAAAATATGGAGTGCCATTGAAAGAGCACAGATTTAAAAATACATTTTGAGATTAAAACTGAACAGATATAAAAAGCAACATTATTCCTAACAGCCCCTGAGTGGAAATAATCCAAATATCCACCAACTAATGAACGTATAAACACACTATGGTACAGCCGTACAATATCTCATTCGGTGTTACTCAGTCGCAGAAATGACTGAAGTACTGATTCGTGCTACATCACGGTTGAACCTTGAAAACAATGTCGAGTGAAAGGAGCTATCACGAGGCACCACGAAGCCTACAGTTCCATTTATGTGAAATATCCCAAATAGGCAAATCCACAGAATTAGAAACAGACTGGTGGCTGCCAAGAGTTGGGAGCAGTGGTGGGAAATGGAAGTGAATGCTAATGGATACAGGGCTTCAATCTGCAATGATGAGAATGTTCTTAAAGTAACCACAGTAATCACTGAACAACTCTGTGAATACACTGAAAATCATGGAATTGGGGATTGTATACTTTAAATGGGTAAATTGTATGCTATATGAATTATACATCAATAAAGTCATTATAAATAAACTAGCCAGTATTGCAAATATTTTAAATACAATTACAAAAAGAAAAAAAAAAAACCCTTTGTAAGAGCTGGAACACCCTTAGCAAGTTCTGCCAACTCCACTTCCACAGTCGTCTCCCTCCTCAATCTCCTTTCCTTGTTCTGTCTCAGACAACAGCATCTGTCACCTGGGCACCTTGATGGGCTGCTGCCTGGCTTTGCTGCTACATCCCTTGACTCCCCAGGCCCTTCACACCCAAGAAGCTAGAGTGACCTTGCTTCCAGGTACTGCTCGAAGTGCTCCAATGGCCCCCGAATACTTGGAATGGAGTCCACAGACCAGGCTCTCCACAACCTGCCCGCCCCTCGGTTCTGCCCCAACTGTCTCTTCACCAGGGAGACCCAGCCACCCTGGCCTCCTTGCGTCCCCTCAACCACGCCAAACACAGCCATGCTACCCGCTGTTCTGCGCAGGACCACGGCAGACCGTCTCCGTCCTCTCTCTCAGGTTCCAGATGAAACGTCACCTCTTCAGAGAGCCATCCCCAGGCTACCAAGCCTAAGGTCACCTGAGAGACGCCCTCAACCCTCCTGAAGGCAGGGGTCCCCCTAACCTTCACCCGCCATCCAGCACTCGGCCAACCTATTCTCGTCTACTTGTTTCAGAACAAAGGCGAGACCAGAGCTGGAACCCTGTCTGACTTATTCACCGCTGTATCTTTGGTCTCTAAAACTACTATTATTTAGCAGATGTTAAATAAATACCTGGTAAATCGATGATTGAGTGTATTCATTGTAAATAAGTTAGTGAATAATTTTTTATAGATTAAGTTGATGAATACATTTGATGGGCAAATTGATGAATAACAACTGAGATGAAGACCAATTAAACATCTAGAAGATAAAATTAACAAAGCCTCCTACCAGACTCTAATCTCTGCGGGGGCAGAGACTTTGTTCAATGCTATATCCCCAGATTTAGAATAAATCCCAACATTTAGAATAGTGCCTAGCACACTGAAAGAAATCAATAATAGTAGCTGAATAAACAGGAAAGCAAATTCTTAATACAGAATCTAGAATCAAATCTAATAATATATAGTAATTTTATTTATGCTAAAGGATTTAAAAAATCTGTGGGGAAAATATTAATTATTTAACTTGCTATTTGGAAAAACATAAAGCTGCATTATTACCTTTCTATCTACTCCAAAATAAACTACACATGGAACAAAAATTTTAATGTAAAAAAAAAAAGCATGAAAGTATTAGAGGAAAACACGACTGTATTTTTACAGGCAAAAGACAAACCCCAAACCACAAAAATTAAGTTGAACAGATGACAAAGGGGTAATTTTTCCCTGCTAATCTAAAAAAAAAAGTCTGACAAATCAGTTAGCAAATAATGAATAACAATGCATAAAAACAGGTAGGACATAAATATACTACTCAAGGAAGAGAAATAATAAATAAACACAAGAAAGGATGCTTGACTTCATTAATGAAAGAAATACCTGTTAAGGTAATGAGATGGTATTTTTACCTATTAGATTAATGATATTCTGTCTTCACAAAACTCTGGCATGAAATTTACAGTTCTTTAACATACACCTAAAAATCTCAAGGAAAAAAAACCATGCTTTTTACTATTATTATAAAGAAATGTTATTGCATTTAAAACCCTCATTTGGATTTAGCATGCAAAGTATTAGTCGCTCAGTGGTGTCCGACTTCTTGCAACCCCATAGACACACCGGACTCCTCTGTCCATGGGATTCTCCAGGCAAGAATAGTGGAGTGGGACTGTCATCCCTACTGCAGGGGATCTTCTCAACCCACATATAGAACCCAGGTCTCCTGCATTGCAGGCAGATTCTTTATCATCTGATCCACCAAGGAAACAGCTCCCCAAATCATTTTTATCCCCTTAATGCATGCATGCTTAGTCGCTTCAGCTGTGTCCAACTTTTCTCCACCCCATGGACTGTAGCCTGCCAGATTCCTCTGTCCATGGAATTTTCCAGGCAATACTGGAGTGGGTTGCCATGCCCTTCTCCAGGGGATGTTCCCAACCCAGGGATCAAACCAGCATCTCTTACGACTCCCACATTGGCAGGTGGGTTCCTTACCACTAGCGCCACCTGGAAAGCCCTACTATTTAAGAGAAAACCATCAATTAAAGTCATGTATGATTTAATGAAGATGTAAACAAACAAGCAAAAACCTCCAACAGTTCATGAAATATAAAAGGAACACAAGTTACAAGCAAAAATAAAAT